GGGTTCTCGTCCCAGCGCCTCACAGCCCACTTTAACACCAGTCTCAGGGGCTCTAACACTCTAACACTTCTGACGGCTGCAGACACCACATGTAGCGCACAGGAATTCGTGCAGACTGAATATCCATCCACACACTTAAAATAAACATACCGGGGAAAAAATGAAAAGAAAATAAAAACATGCTTGGACCGCCTAGATGGTTCATCTAATAAAGGATCTTGCTGCCAAGCCCGACGATCTGGGTTTGATCCCTGGAACCTATTTGATAGAAAGGAGAACACCCAAAAATTGTCTTCAGACCTCTAAAAGCACACACACGTGTGTGTGTGCGCGCATATATATGTGTGTGTGTGTGTGTGTGTGTGTGTGTACGTGTGGCTCACAACCATCTATACTGAAATCTGATGCCTCCTTCCAGCATGCATGCTTACATGCAGATAGAGCACTCACACACTAAATAAACAAACAAACAAATAAGTAGACTCTTAAGAAAATTAAGTCACATGCTTCAGCTAGATGTAGTGGTGCCCTTGTAATCCTAGCCCTTGGCAGACTGAAGTAGGAGATTCTGAAGTTCCAAGTGACCTGGACTACAGAATGGGACCCTTTCTCAAAACAACAAAATGAAGGAGGAAAAAACAAAACAAAACAAAACAGTGAATTACACCAAACTACTGAAAACCACAAACTAATTTCCAAAAATCTTATGGACAGTGAAAGAAGCCAGACAGTAGGATCTAGCAGAGCGTATGATCCCATTCATACAAAACTCCAGAGCAAGCAAAACCAAACTATTCACAGGGAAAGCAGATTAGTGCGCATCTGAGGCTGAGCATGGGGACCAACTGGGAGGGGAGCCCATGAAATGGAGTGGAATGGAGTGGAATATGGCAGTGTCTGCCTGTATCACACACTTTCCACAGTGCCTTTCACTATGTGTAAATCAGGCCTTAATGAGTTTAGTAGTGGCTTTCTTTCCTTCTTCTTTTTCTTCAAGACAGGGTTTCTCTCTGTAGCCCCAGCTGTCCTGGAACTCCCTCAGTAGACCAGGCTAGCCTCGAACTCACAGAGATCTGCCTGCCTTTACCTCCAAGTGCTGGGATTAAAGGTATACACACCACCTGGTTGTTCTTTCCTTCTTAAAAAATACCTGGATTGCTTTGTTTTCTGAAGGCAGGCTCTTAATGTGTGATTCTGGCTGACCTAAAACTCATTATATAGCCCAGCACTCAGGGAGGCAGAGGCTGATGGATGGCTGTAAGTTCGAGGCCAGCCTGAGCTACAAAGTGAGTCCAGGACCAAGGCTACGCAGAGAAACCCTGTCTCGAAAAACCAAAATAAAAAAATGTTTTGAAGCTCAAGGACAAGCTTGTGGAATTTGAAATTTTTTATTCATTTTCATGTGTGTGGATGTCTTGCTCATGTATGTTTGTGCACAATGTGTGTGGTGTTGAATCCCCTTGGACAGGAGTTACCGATGGTTGTGAAACTGAAACTGAACCAGCATGAAGGTGCTGGGACTCAAACTAGGGTCCTCTGGAGGAGCAATGTGTGTGTGTGTGGCTCACAACCGTCTATACTGAAATCTGATGCCTCCTTCCTTCTAGCCCAGAGAGAGAAACAGCAGAGCTGTTTGAGAGAAAAACAGTACAGCTGGCGAGCTGTAGATCTCAGCAGTTGCTGCCAGCAGGAGGGCAATGTCAAAGAGGAAGGAACCCATGCCCTTTTGAGCTAAGGTGCGAGAAAGCCAGCATGTTCAGCAATGGAGGTTGTCAAGTGACTCTGTGGTAGCACAAGGGATTTTAGAGAGGGTGAGAAAGCCCAGAGTGTAAATGAAACCACACCTAGGCTTTTGGCCCTATGTGGAAGAAAACAGAAGGGGGCCGGGGAGAAGGAAGAGAGAAATAGAAAAGCATTTGGGTTACAGGAAAGTCCACAGGGCTAGAGAGATGTGTCATCCATTAGGAGCGGTGGCCATTCTTACAGAGGACTCGGGTTCAATCCCCAGCACCCACAAGGCCACTCACAACTGTCTGTGACTACCTCCAAGGGACTGATCCCCTTGCTCTGGCCTCTGCAGGCCTTGCGCACGTGTGACACATAGACATCCATGCAGCAAGACACTTACATACGCAAAACACTTAAAGACAGGCTCAGCAGGGCTGCACAAGGGAACACATGTGCACGAGTTTTGCCTGCACAGAAACGCGCACTACCGGTGTACCTGGTAGCCCGCGGTGTCAGGAGGAGGCATCAGATCCCCTAGAAATGGACTTGTAGGCAGTGATGAGCCAACATTAGTGCTGGGAACGAGCCAGGTCTTGTAGAAAAGGAGTTAGCACTCTTAACCACTGAGCCATCTAGCTCTGTAGACCAGGCTGGCCTCTACCTCCTGAGGGCTGAGTGCCACTAAATACACACATACAAAAAGAAAAAAGACTGCCTCTCCTTAAGACACTTCGGAAGTTGGATGGAGTAGTCCCAGCACTGGGGAGGTGGAGGCAGGAGGATCAGGGGTTCAAAGCCATCTTTCCCTTAGCTATATTGTGAGTTCCAGCCAGCCTGAACTCCCAAAGAAACTGGCTGGAGGATGGGGCTGGGGCTAGGTGATGGTGGTAAGGGGCTAGGTGGACAGAATCGGGACAAAGTATGTTACTGCCATCTGCTGGAAGTTGACAAGTATGAATCTACAAGCCTAGGACCAATACTGACTGTCCTTTGTGCATGTCTATCCCTTGCTTACAGAATGGAGAGTACCTTAGCCAACATACTCAATACATTTAGATCAGATCAGCACCTGGCCCACAGTAAGCACTATTTAAGTGCGATCGTAATGGACATAATTGCCATTTACCTGTCTGAAACTGCCTAAGTGCTTGCACAGGGTGCCCAGCAGTTCCTCCCTAATTTTCCAGCCTCAGGGAGGAGTCACCACTACCACAGGCATGTGTCGCCCAATGTGGACAGCGCCAAGCTTCGTTTCGTTTGGACAGTCTCACTATGTAGCCCTGGCTGTCCTGGACAGCTCTCTGCACACCAGATAGACCTCTAATCTACAGAGACCCACCGCGTTTGTGTTTGTTTTTTTATTTCTGTTTTTTGTGTTTTTTTTTTACATTTTAGCCCATTAAAAGTGTGTGTCTAATGCACACGTCCCCAGAACACATGTGGAGCTTGAAGACAGCTTGCAGCAGGAGTGTGCTCCTTCTGCTGTGCGGGTTCCAGAAATTAAATTCCTCAGCCACGGGCATTTCACCAGCTGGTTTCCTTCTTTACTTTCTGAGGCAGGGCCACATGTAGCCCAGGCTGCCCAGACACTCCCAATGTGTCGGAAGAGGATGACTTTGTCCTCCTCCTGATCCTTCCTCCTCCGCTTTCCAAGTGCTAGTGGTACAGGTGTACACGAGCACACCTGGTCTCCTTGCTGACGACTCTGCCTCCACAACCGTCTCCCAGGCCCTACACCCTGTGCGGCTAGAGGCCACCGTGAGGAAACTGTCGCCCAGGGAGAGAATCCCCTTGACTTAGGGGGATTTCGTGGGTGGGTACTACGTAAAAACTGAAAGCTGGGTTTCCTCAGATGAGACTGGTGGGCTAGAGAATTCTGTGGGGTAGAGGCTTAGAGCGGAGGGCTTAGGGGGCCATTAAGATCGTCTGGAGGCCGGAGAGATGGCTCAGTAGTTAAAAGCACCTACTTGCTCCTGTTACAGAGGACCCGAGTTTAGTCCCACGTACCCGCTCACTGACATCCTGTAACTACGTTTCCAGGGAGATCGGCAGCTGAACTCACGAAAGTATTAAATCTTAAAGCAAGGCGACCTGGAGGGTTCTGGACAACGATCTGCTAGGCTAACTGCCCTGAAGATGGGTCCTGAGGGCAGGCAGGCTCTCTAGGAGAGGGCCTTCCCGGGAGAAACAGCTTCCCAGGAGCAGGCGCTGCGGAGAAGAGGCGAAGGCAGGTGCAGGCCACGGACTCTGAGGAAGGGGTCAGGTGTACTGGGAAGAGGAGACTCGGATAGGGAAAGACATCTAGGGATCACGGCGGATGAGCTGAAGGAGCAGCGGGCCCAAACCCCGCCCATTCCCACACAGCCCCGCCCCTTCGCTCCTCCAAGACCGCCCCTCCCTCGCCTGAGGGCGTTGCCGCAACGTCAGCCGTAAAGCTCGCTTTTGTCGCGACGCAGCGCTCAAGGCGCCTGCGCAGACCCTGGAAAACCGGCCGGGCGGCCCCGCGTTTTTCCTTTTCCGGTGGCGGCGCCGTGCGGTGAGGAGCTCGTGTTCGCAGCCGCAGCCATGCCGTCCAAGGGTCCGTTGCAGTCCGTGCAGGTCTTCGGACGCAAGGTGTGCCAGGGGCGGGCAGGGAGGAGCCGGGGGGAGGCCGGGGCTGGGAGGCACCGGGCTCTGGGGCCCGCCTGAGAGCCGGGGCCCCGAACTCACGGCCTCGCCGCCTCCCTCGCCTTCCGCAGAAGACCGCCACTGCCGTGGCGCACTGCAAGCGGGGAAACGGGCTCATCAAGGTGAACGGACGTCCGCTGGAGATGATCGAGCCGCGCACGCTGCAGTACAAGGTGTTGGTCGGGCATGGGCGTCCGGGAGGCGGGGGGGCGCAAGGAAAGGCCTCGGGGTTGGTAGAAGCCGACGTGGGGGAATGGCCTACGTAGCGGTAGGTCTGGGCTTCGGAAACGTGAAGTCCCGAGCTGGTAAAATAATTGAAGACGTAGGATCGCAAGGACTCCTCAGTCTGCGGTGTCTGGAAGCCTTCCCGTCTGCGAGGAGCTGGCGGCCAAGGGAACAGCTCAGTGTGTGCGGCCTAACTGTAGGTCTCTCTCGTAGAAGTCTGAGTTCACAGACTCGTGTGTGTAAGCCCAGCACTCTGGGGAACAGTGGGGGGGAAAAAAAAAACAAGGCTACAAAGCGCGGTTTGGGTCAGCGTGAGGTAGTGTGAAACCCAGGGAAGGAAAGTTACAAACAGCAGGAACCCTCCGCGGTCTGGCATTGGTAGCACTTGTATGGGTTTTTGTTGGACTAGTGGACAAAAGCTTAAAAAACAAGTGCAAAAGCAAATCCTCTTTTGCAACCCAGAACTCATTGTTGTATGGGTTTTGTTACATGTAAGAAGGAATACCATACTCGGGGCATGCATGATGATGGCGGTATTGATGATGCCGCTCGAAAACTTGTGGTGAAGCACATCTTTATCCTAGCACTCCAGGGTCTCTCCTGACAGCGGGGCTGCAGCAGAAACCCCGCGGGTGGGCGGTGCCTCCGGTGTGGGTGTTCCCCAGTGTGGTCCTTGATACGATCTGAGCCAGTTCCAGTTACTGTAGTTATGAAAAAGCAGATAATCTGCCCCCAAGATGAACCCAAAGTAAATTGTTTAAAGAAATTATATATCAGGCAGGGTACACCTTTAATCCCAGCACTCAGGAGGGAGAGGCAGGCGGATCATGAGGCCAGCCTGGGCTACAGTGAATCCAGGACCTCCAAGGTAACAGAAACCCTGTCTCAAGAAAAGATGGCTCAGTGGTTAAGAGCACTGTCTGCTCTTCCAAACGGACCCGGGTTCAGTTCCCAGCACCCACATGGCGACTCACAACTGTGACTCCAGTTCAAAGGGATCTGACATATTTACACCAATGCACATAAAATTAGATAAATTATTTTACAAAAATAATATATCAAGCCTGTCAGGCAACTGAAGGACACATACTGGACCCGGGAGTTTCTCACTCCTGGCCGGGGCACCCTGCCGTTGTGCCAGGTAATCACTTACTCTCCTTTGGGTCCCCTGGTAAAATGGGAACATTTTGTTTTTTTATTCGTGGGGAGGGGGGTTATGTAAGAACAAATATGAAAGGTTTGGCTTAAATTCCATTCCTCTCAAAAAGAAAGAATGTGCTTTGCAGAGTGGAAAATGCCGGGTGTCTTTTGTATGCCAGATACTGGGTGTTAGGGGCTTTTTGCTTTGTGTTTAGTGTTTTTGAGATAGGGTTTCTCTGTGTGGCCTTGCCTCTCCTGGGACTCAGTCTGTAGACTAGGCTGTCCTTGAACTCAAAAAGATCTGCCTGCCTGTCCCCTGGGTGCTGGAATTAGAGGTGTGTGCTGCCACGGCCTAGCGGGTACTAGGGAGTTTGTTATTGGCTGTCAGTTCATTTGAAGGATCTGTGCGCTGTTGTGCACTGGGGAAACAGGCAGTGATCCCGATTGCACAGGTGGCAGTGGAACCAAAAGGGCAGGCTGCCTGGGCAGGACCTCTCCCTGGCGGGAGATAGTTTTGGTGATGTCAGCCTAACAGTGTCCTGAGAACGGGGCCTGACCTTGCTTCCAGGACAGATTGCCTCCTTGATTCTGGTGGTGGTGGGAGCCTCACAGGGAAGATGTGGAATGCCCAGGGAGGGTGGTTGGGTTGTCCAGGCTGTGTCTTAACCCTATTCATTTCCCCTTTCTCTAGTTACTGGAGCCAGTTCTGCTTCTGGGCAAGGAGCGATTTGCTGGTGTGGACATCCGTGTCCGGGTGAAGGGTGGTGGCCATGTGGCCCAAATTTATGGTGAGTCTCAGGATCTTGACCTGTGGGTGTGGGCCAGCTCCCTGGAGCAAGATTCTGGGTTTTCACAGAGCTTTTTCGTGGTGTCTTGCAGCTATCCGACAGTCTATCTCCAAAGCTCTGGTGGCTTATTACCAAAAATGTGAGTGAGAGCTGGTCCTTCCTAGTGGGCGGGGGCTGTGGGAACCAGGCTAGAGGCCTGTGGTTATTTGAATCTTGTCCCTTCATCTCCAGATGTGGATGAAGCCTCTAAGAAGGAGATCAAAGATATCCTCATCCAGTATGATCGGACCCTGCTTGTGGCTGATCCCCGTCGCTGTGAGTCCAAAAAGTTTGGAGGTCCTGGTGCCCGTGCTCGCTACCAGAAATCCTACCGATAAGCCCAGCTCAAGAGTCAGGGAGGGATAACTTCGTAATAAACATCCTAGGATTTTAATGTCAATGTTTCTGTGGTGGTTTTTGTTTCATTTTGTTTTGTATTTGTGATTTGATGGAATGCAAGAGACACCCTTAATAAGTAGCTGTCAGGGTTAGAGAGATGGCTGCCTTCCCAGAGCATTTGAGTTGTGTTGTTTTGGGGATTATGATTTTGTTTGTTGAGACAGTAGACCAGGCTGGCCTCAAACTCAAGATTTGTGCCTGCGTCTTCCTCCCCATCCTGGGATTAAAGGAGTGTGCCACCATGTGCAGCCTCTTGAGGATTTAAGGGGCCTTCCCTGGTCTTTGTGTGCTTTGTAGAGGTGGCAGGTAGGTTTGGTTGAATTTGTGGAGTGCATTGTGGGTGGAACCCAGGAGATGATGGTTTGTTCGCACAGGTGCATAGTTATTATGTGTAAGTGCATGTACACGTCAGAGGACCATCTTTGGTCAGGTGCTGTGTACCTTAAAATATTTCCATTTAAAAATTCTAAGTTATTTGTATGAGTACGCCACATGCCTGGTTCCTGCAGAGTCCAGAAGAGGGTGCTGCATCCCCTAGAACTGGATTTACAGACTGGTATGAGTCACCATTTAGCTGCTGAACCCAAGTCCTACAGCAGAGCAGCCAGTGCTCTTAACCTTGGAGCCATCTCTAGCCCCAATATTTTTGAGAGAAGCTTGTGTGCTTGAGAGAGGGCAGATCCTCTGCAGCTTTAGTTTGTGAACTGCTAGAAGACGGCCTCTTACTGAAACGAATCAAGTAATATCTGCCTCCCCTGCCTAGAGATTATAAGTGCATGCAACCAGGCCTACACGCGCGCGCACACACCCCCGGGAACAAGGTAGAGCAGGTTGGCCTCATCACCTGCCTGCCTCTGCCAAGTGCTGGGGTTGAAGGTGTACACCATCAGGCCTGCTCCAAGGCCTTCATCTTTTTAGAAATGTTTACGTGCTGCTCAAGGTGGGGAGGCAGAGCAGGCCGCTCTCTAAGTACTCAGCCGCAGAGCCACCTTGAGCCCTTCCTAGACTTACTCTTAACCCGGTTTTGGGATTGAACTCTGGTCCTCAGGCTTCCAAAGCAAGCACTTCGGCTACAGAGCTTTCTCTGTAGCCCCTTTTGGTGTTGAGTGGCTGTGTCTGCTGGGCTCCAGCAATCCTGCCATGCTTGTCCTCTGTCTGCCTACTTTGTTGTGCATGGGAGCCACCCCAGGCTTTGCACAAAGTCAGAGGTCTTTACCCTTTTGGACTTCACTGTGCTGTTACCAGGGAATCCCTGTGCCTCAGGGTCCGGAATGCCGGAGCCAGAGTTGTGTAGTCACACTAGAGGAGGAATGGCAGAACTCTGTAAAGCTTGTCTCAACTGCCTGGCGGGGTGGAAGAAGGAAGGCATCTCCAGCTGAGGCAGTCTTAAATGTCAGCCAGCAGTGTCAGCCCGTTTAGGGAGCCTTCCATCTGCAAGCAGTGGCCACACCCAATGCATCTCCTGAGTTTGTGAAGGGCAGAGTTGTGGTTTAGGTGCTGCGGTTTGAGCCCAAGGCCCATGTGCTCAATTAGGGCAACCCCTAGAACCTATCTTTGACTCAGATGGGCTCAAGTGTTCATCTCTATGGGAACAGCATCCTATTTGCTGGGTCTGCTGTGGGGTTACATATCTATTCTTAGGACTTGCAAAGGGAAGGTAAGGAAATCAGAAGTTCAAGGTTGTCCTTGGCTGTGGTGAGGTCAGCCTTGTTTTCAAGACACTTTTTAATGAATGCAGGGTCTGGAGAGAGGGCTCAGTGGTTAAGAGCACCAGCTGCCCTTCCAGAGGATCCTGATTCTGTATCTCTAGTTCCAGGGGTTGTGACACCTTCACACAGACTTGCAGGCTAAACACCAATGTACATTAAAAAAAAGAATTGGAACTAGTACGTAGGAGCCTCTGTGGATGGCAGTTCTATTCTGTGCTCTTCTGTTTTGTAGACGATAAGAATGCCAGGAAATGCCTCACTCAAGGGCACAGTGGAAGTTATACTGAGCCAGAAAGGGAGGTGGGAAGGCCCGGGCCCTTCATACCATGCTAAGAGGCTATGAGTCTACCCTACATCCTGTCTACCCTCAAGTCCTGTTTAGGGAGCATGAGGTCAAAGCTTTCAGCTTGTGGGAGAAGCCCAAGCCCGCAGAAGAGCCAGCCTTGAGACAGTCTGGGTTTTTTGTGAGTCAGGATCTGCTGGAGGGCTGTTGGGTCTTCACACACCTCAGAGATGTGATGCAGGGGAGTCACTTTCTTACAAAATGCTGTTCCTGGTGGAGCTGTAGTAGGAGCAGTTGAGTGGCCAGTGAGCTGCCCTGGTGAGCACTGGCCTTGTGCGTCCACCGAGGGGAAAGTTCGAGATCCACTGCAGAACATCACAATGAGCCACGGAGCTGCTCACAGTTTTTTATTGGTTGAGATAGGATTTCATAGCTGGGCGATGGTGCCACATGCCTGTAATCCCAACACTGGAAGCAGAGGCAGGTGGATCAATGTGAGTTTGAGGCCAGCCTGGTTTACAGAGTGAGTCCAGGACAGCCAAGGCTACAAAGAGAAACCCTGTCTCAAAAAAAACAAATGAGAGAGGGTTTCATTATGTAGTCTTGGCTGACCTAGAACCAGCTATATAGGCCAAGCTGGCCTCATAATCTCAAGAGCTCTGCCTCAAGAATGCTGGGAGTAAAGGCCTATCCATCACATTGGACAGCAGATTCCCGTAGGTAGGAGAGGCTCCTTAGGGCAGCACTGGCATCAGGCACAGAGAAGTAGAGTGGGGCTCTCCGAATACCAAGCACATGCCAGGCTAGCATTACCCGACAATGGTTGCGGGGGCCTTGTGATGGCGAGGAGGGGTGGCCCTGAGAAAACTTGGAGTAGTGACAGCCTGCTCCACAGCTGCCAAAGGCATTAGTGCAGCTGCAGATAACGAGAACCAGTGGGAGGCTGCAGGCTCCATTCTAGTTATCCGTGGATTTAATGGGGGTCTCTACATTGCCCTGGCTTTCCTGGAACTCACTCTGTAGACCAGGATGGCTTTGGACTCCGCCTGCCTCTGCCTCCCGAGTGCTGAGGTTAAAGGCGTGTTCCACGCTTCACTCTGTTACTAAGCAACTGTGTTGCCAAAACTGGCCTCAGGGCTCCTCCTGTC